CTCTGCACCACCCTCCAAGTTATTCCTGGTTCCAGAGCTATAAATAGCCCCAATTTAAACAACTAATAGGCTTTGTGACTGAATGGCCTGCTGGAGCAGCCAGCACAGAAAGTGGATGGGCATGGCTGGAAGCCTCAGGCAGATGAAACAGCATTCCATGCTGCCAGCTCCTTGGCACTGCAACACCTTCTGGAGCAAGACAATTCCAGTGGGCTTTGGAGAGAACTGGAGAGCAAACAGTTACAAGCTCAGTATTCCCAGCAAGCAGGTATGCACAACAACCTGAAAGCCATTACTCTACCAAATCCCAGCTGAACTTGGATGCCACAACTTCCAGAGGGAGCACGAGCCACAGGGATGCATCCACTTCATGGCAGCACCTGGGGAGCACAAGCTCCACTCCAGTGTGATGAGCAGCATGCCCTGACTATGTGAGCTGATATAAGTACCTTCGTGGTTTGGAAGAGTGGTCCCTTTTCCCCCCCTCTGTGGATATACAGTCAGAGCACATTTTGGTTATCCCTCGGCTACAGAGCCACACACATCTCTGTTCTTGGCAGAGCTTGGGAAGGGAGTGGGACAAGCTGGACCCCAGAAGTCCCTTCCAACTTCCACCAGTCTGTGATTCCTGCAAGGTGTAAAATCAACTCTCTGAGTACTGGCAAATCCACGCACACTGCTGATAAAAATGGAACTGTGCCTGTCCCACCCCAGCCCTGTCAGGTACCTGTACCCCAAAGAGCACAGACAGTGCCCATTGAGGCTGCCAGACCTGCCTGAGATCCAATGACAGATAACAGAAGCAGGGAAACCCTGCAGAGCCACCTGATCCTTTACCAGGAGCTTTTCTTCCCACTTCTCCTCTGGGCATTGGCTTCCCCAACAAGGAACACACAGAATCATAGAATGACAGATTCATTAAGGCTGGGAAAGCCCTCTAAGATCACTCCCCCAGCAACCATTCCCCCAGGCCACCACAGCCCCATGTCCCCAGGTGCCACAGCTACACCTTTTTTAAACAGTTCCAGGGATGGGAACTCCACCCCTGCCCCGGCAGCTGTGCCAGGGCCTGACAACCCTTTCCATGAAGAAATTTCCCCTGGCACAACTTGGGCTGTTTCCTCTCCTCCTGTCCCTTGTTCCCTGGGAGCAGAGCCTGACCCACCCCTCAGCTCCCCCCTCCTGTCAGGGAGTTGCAGAGCCAGAAGGTCCCCCCTGAGCCTCCTTTTCTGCAGACTAAACCCTCCTGCAGACACCAGTTCTGCTTGTGCTGCACTTGGAGCTGGAGCTGCACAGTCACATCCCCCCTCTCTACATGGCCCTGCCACCCCTCCATTTGCCACAGTCCTGTTATTAACATCTCCACCAGCCTCAGGACAACTCAGAGCTCCCAAACAGGACTGTGTGATGCTGCCCAGCAGTTCTGACTTGCTACTGTTCGTGCATTTAAGCCACAGGGCTCCCAAACACCAAGGATAAGGATGGTTTGCCTCGAGTTTCCCTTCAGAAACGAGTGGTGCTCCTGGGGAGCAGAGGGGTGGCACAGCAAGTGCCCTCCCAGCAGCTGCCAACAACAAAAGCATTTTATATATTTTTAGCACTTAAAAAAATAATACTAAAAGAGTGTGTTCCTCCTTCCACAGTCATTGTGACCCAGAGGTATTTCATTCTGCAAAGGCTTTTATAGAGAAATACAAAACCTTTGCAGAATGCCACGGGAAACCCCAGAAAATGAGTATTCTCTGGAAGAGAAGGAGGCCAGAGAGCTTCAGCCAAATCAAGCAGTGGGCACAGATCTTGCAATACTTTTCCCAAAAAGCCTTTCCTGAATGGAGCAAAATCCAGCAGTTCCTAGTACCCATCAGCACCCTCTTTATGAATCCTGGGGAATGATGACTTGGTGAACAGAAACATTCCCTTAAATCTCCTCAGGAAACAGTTCATTGCCCAGATTCCCTCCTAACCCCTCACAGATGTGGAAGGATGCACACTGGAGAGGTGCCACCACCACTTGCAGCGGCAGCAGGAGAAGCCACCCCAATCCCAGAGCTCCCAAAACTGCGGCAGCTGCCGGCACCAGAGCAGTGTCCTGCTGCCAGCACTGACCTGGGCACTCACCTGCCTGCTCTCAGCCCCAGGAAGGGCTTGGCACATTGGGAAGCTTGGTTGTGGTGGATCCACAGGCTCAGCTGAGCACTCCCACCCAACAGGAGCCCAGGCCAGCACCTTCAAGCAAGACAGAGACCAAGGGGACTTCTAACTGAGTCAGAATTTGTCAGGCTTCACACAGCTACCAGGGATGGGTTTAAAACCAACATCTTTGCCCTAAGCAGAGATTTGTGCAATGAGGTCCCTCTAACCAGCATGCATGTAACACCTGGTACCTCTAGTCTTTAAGCAGCTGTGTCCTCCTGGTACGCTGGGGAAGGCAGGGTCAAGCTCCTGTCTAGAAGGTGGCACCCAAAGACTGTGCAGCCTGGTCCAGAAGACACCAGGAGCTCAAATGTTGATGTCACAAGCCTGCTGCTCTTACCACTAATGCCCTTTTCCTACTCCCTCCTGTCTCCCTGTCTTCAGCAGGCAGGGAACTCCACACCACCAGCCTCACCCAGGCAATGGGAGACAGTGCAGCCTCCTCCCAGCTTCTAAAATCTTGAAAGCCAAACAGCACTGATTTCTCCCCCTGCTCCCACCCCATCACGAGGGAAGCCTCCCCTAATTCCCCCATCAAGTACAGACCAAAGTCACCCGTTAAGTACTTGTGTCCCTGTTTTCCTGCCAAGGAAGGCTTGTGTTCATCCCTGAGACAGCCCAGAGCAGCTTGGCTTTGTGCTGCTCCACAGCAGACAAAGCATTACCAGCTCCAAAGGCGGCCACAGGCAGGGACAGAAAAGCAGCAGGAAAAGCAGAGTCTATCCCAGAACTCCTGCCCAGCCTCAGATTGACTCCTCAGTACTCCACTTCCTTCCTACGCTCCCCGACTCCGGGGATGAGGACACGCAGAGACAGGCGACCTCCCTTGCCTCGTTCTATTGACTTACTTAATTCTTTAAAGGAATATATTTATCTGTTCCTCTCTGGAAACCAACCATCCGCTGCTCCTTCGCCCCACCGTCCCCCCCACCCCGTCCCTCCCTGGGAACGGCGCTGCTTTGATGCCTGGCTGATCCCAGCAGGTCTTTTGAACCCACTTCCATAATCACTGCCTGGAGCGAGTCCTTCCCACGCAGCTCACTGCTCACTGAGTCACGGCCAGAGATTTTCCTGTCTCCAGGAACCACGCAGCCCTGCACTGGGATGAGTTCTGTTCTGCCTTCAGCAGGGGAAATACATAATTATCAGAGAAGCCACTCCTGTCCTAACAGGACACCGGCGTTATCTGCACCCAGACCGGCAGTTCCTGTTCTTGCCCCGACATCCCTTCCACCACCGAGGCTGGTTGTTCAGGAAATTTATTTCCACATGTCAAGATTTCACTTAGTTTCTCAACCTCCTCCAAGCTACAGACTTTGAGCCATGAACTGGCACACGTTAGGCTGCAGAGACATCACCTTTTTTAGTGCCGAGGGCCAGTTGTGCACTGGAAGTTCCTTAGTTCCAGTGCTGGCTGTGCACGGGCACACTGGGGTGCTCATCTGTGAGCCAAGACACTCCTCATGGCAACAGAGTGAAAACCACCAGTCCAGAAGGGATAATCCTGCAGGAAGGACCAGCTCTGTTCACAAGATCCCTCTAAACTAGAGGGGACAAGCCCCAACAGCACAGATCACCAACCAGAACCGTGGGCCAGACACACCGGTTGGCACACACAGCAACACAGAGATTTTAGGAACTGCACAAAATGCCCTTTTTAAAGGTCTCTCGGGCACTGCCAGGAACTCAAGGCCATGTTTGAGAGCAAAGATAACAGATAATTTGGTTCCACACTGTCCCAGCTCAACAAGAAGACCCAAGACAGGGCTAGAAAGGAACAAAGGTGACATTGCTGCCTCGGAGGCTCCTGGAGTTGTGCACCACATTCCAGGCCTCACAGCAGCAGCAAGGCAAGAAAACAAGGATCCCATCACGGATACTACATGATCATCACAGCAAACGTCTGCAGTGGAAAGCCAGGACACTCAGAAGCAAGCAGCTATTCCTAAAGGACCAGCAGCTCCAAACAGACTCAAGCAGGTACGAACACCCCACCAGGCTGGAATCTACACCGAGCAGGCATTAGGCAAAGGCTCAAAGGTTATTAGCACAAAACACAGCAGCCTCTGTAGCCAAGCCCCCGGGCAGAGGGGTTTTAGATGTTTCGACATACCTGTCAGAGACTGACTGCAGGACACATGCCCCGACATGAAGAGAAACTCCTCACTTCCAGTGGCTGGTGGGGAAGGGGCAGAGGCAATGGCTCCGAGACACATCTGAGGTGCTGATTTCATCAAGGAGGAACCAGAATTGAGGGTTGGAAACACTGAGCTCGTTTTCAAAGTGATTCTGGTCTGGTGTGTTTCATTCCTTTGGATCTGGTATTCAAAAGCATTTCACTGCTTTTGCATGAAAACAGCTTCTGCAGCTCTTCTGAGTTCAGAAACCCTCGAGGCTTATCACCTCCCAACCTGGAGTCACAACCTACCCCCTGTGACACTACAGTGTGGCTGGGAGGTCAGAAAGAAGAGGAGCCACGACAACATGGCAAACAAGGAACTGAGATCCCATTCCCTGACAGCCACCTTCACAACTTAAGTGAGTGAGGAAGAGCCGGGCTGAGTCCTGCAGTCCATTCTGCAGGAGACTTCAGCCACCCCACGTAAAAGGACAGGGCTTGGCATCACTCAAACGGGTGGAAATTTGGCTGTAGCTTCCCGAGGAACTGAGCTGAGCCTCTGAGCGAAGGGACACGACAACAAATAGGATGCAAAGCGACTCGTCTGCCGAAGGCCGTGGGCGGACTCGGGCTGGGAGGCGAGCAGCGAGCGGGTGAGCAGCGAGCAGGTCCTTCCCCTCCTCCTTACCTTCGCACCCGGTGCTGGAGGTGCTGCTGCTGCCGCGTTATAAGGGCACTCTCCCACACGGGGCCGCCGTGGCTGCTCCTATACCAGCCCACGGCCGGGTGCCCCGGGTAGGGGGTGCTACCGAAGCCATGGTCCGACTCCGTCTCCGCGGCCAGCGATGAGGCAGAGCTCCCCATGGTGCCCCTGCCCGGCCAAGCCGACACCCAGCCTAGGTTAGGTCCAGGCCAGTGGCATGGGCAGCTCGGGGGGGACGGGCGAGGTGCTGCGGCATGGGCTGCTGGAAAGATCCCGACACGCTGGAGGAAGGGAGGTCGGTTCTGATCAGAGGAGGGGGGGAAAAAAAAACACAAAAAAACAAACAACAAACAAAGAGAAAGGGGGGGAAAAAAAGGAAAGAAAAAGAGAGAAAGATAAGGTATGATTTCAGCAACAACCCTCCAGTTTCAAAGGCTATTAATGCATGCTCTGAGCAGGATCCCCATGCCAGTGCTCACTGGGATGGGAAGGGCTGTTTCACTGAATCCAGCTTTTGCTGCTGGAGATGAGGAGCGCAGGGGCTGCAGAAGAGGCTCCCCCAAGTTAAGCACCAGGAGTTTGCAGGCACAGGGAAGGAGCTCGACTAGGGGAGGGAAGCACAGGAGAGCCCAGCACAAAGCCTTTCACACGAGGGGAAAGCAGCAGCACATGGGACAAGCCAGTCCCACCTGGAGCCCAAACCAGCAACCCTTGGGGACCACAAACCCCAGGCCAGTCTGAAAGCTCTTGGGCTCTGACTGGCACATCAGATGTTTAGCTACCTTCAGCTACAAGGACTGGATGGCTTGTGTGCTTGTATGCAAAATAAAACACTCCTCTTTTCCTGTTCCCCACTAATGCTACAGCAAGGCTGGAACTGGACAATCTGGGAATCTGAAAAGTATTTCTATGGCTATTTACTTTCAGTTCAAGCCAATTTTTAGCTGACACCGAGCATGCCCCTACCCACAAAAGCAGGTCAGGGGCTTTGACTGCTCCTCCTTTTCTCCCTCTCTCTTTGCTACCTTTCGGAATTTATTCTTTGAGCGTGGTCACAGTTAAACTACAGAAACATTTCGCGTGCTCTGGTATTTGAAGAAGTTTAAACACACACACTCACACCTGTCTCCTTAAAGGGAAAATGCACAGCAATCTGCATGTGTATCAGGAGCACAGGATCAAGGTAACATTTAACAGAGCAAAAAAGAAGAAACGAGGAAGACAAAAAAATTAGCACAGCTGAGCTTATTCAATTACCCACCAGGATTTAGGGAGATGAATGAACTGTAGAAAGACCTTTGCAAAGGAACTACTTTGTGCCACAAAAAGGCTGAAATGAAGAGTCCTAAAATACAGTTTTTCAATCCCAGGATTGATCTAAGGGATCAAGAAAGGCCTTGATAGATAACACACTCTGAAAAGCAGCAACTCAAGGAGCAGGTGCAATTTTGCTACAAGCTGAATACCAGAACGTGCCTGCATTAGGTCATTAGCTGGAGAATGTTAACTGCTCTGTCACAGTCTCTCCTCTGTATTCTACAAAGCCTGGACTAACCAAATAAATGTGACAAAAGAAGTCCAGGAACATGATTTTCCCTACCACCTCCTTTTTTTCAATTGGTCTGCTGCTGGGTATCAGCCCCCCATCCCCAGGCTTGGCTTCCTCCCATCCCACAGCAAGGTTTCACTGATTTCGCAGACCCAGGCAAAGTGGATCCCTGGCGCTTCCCCGCTCATTTCCTGCTATTCAAGCAGTTAATTTGTAACAAATCTGATTTTCTGGCTAAATGAAAGCCACGAGATGTGAAGGGGAAGAGCATTTCCAAGCATCATCAACTGGAGCCCGACTGGAGACATCAGCCATCCCACACCTGCGGTGTCTGCGGCTCCTCCGCCCCGTCCCGCGGGCTGCGCGTGCTGCAGCAGCACCGGCACAGGGTGCAACTCTGGGGCCTGCCAGGAGAACAAACTCTGTCTTCTACCTCAAGACTCGAGTTCTGTCACGATAAAGTAAATAAAGATGGGTTGAAACAGCCCTGCCCAGCTCAGCAGGCTGAGCGAAACAGGAGGGTGCCCAGGCAGTCAACAGCCTTTTCCCACCTCGAGGAGGGTTAAACTGCCAAACAAAGCAATTCCACAGGCTGGTTCAAGACCACTTCCTCAGCTGACTGTCAAGCTGGAAAAGCACAACTCTGCTTCCTCCTCCCCATGGAAACACCAGTTTTAGCTCACCAGAAGAGGCCAGAGACATGCCTGCTGCCCACATCACACCGGCTCCCGTGTCCTGCTCTGTCCTCCTCCTCCAGGGAGTCAGAGCAGGCAGCTCAACTCCCCAGGGGGAGGAGAGGCTGGGAGTCCTGCTTTAAAACCTGTGGTAAAACCCCACGGTGGGTGGAGCTGGGAGAGGAAAGGAGCTATAAATAGGTGGAGGATAACCTGGCTAAGTCGGAGTGATCTCCGAGACTGTCTGGTCTAACTGGGCTGCTCGGCTGTGAGCGCTGTGTGAAATCGGATTTCTCCAGGCAAAGCAGTAAATCCTTCTCTTCAGGGTCACCCTCATGCTAGGTGAGAGCAGCCAATGAACAACATCTCACGGTTGACCCAAGGTGGGGAGAGGGTGAACCAGTTTGAGAGCAGGCGTGGCAGCAGCGTCACAGCTCAATGCAAAGCATGAACGCCACTCCCCGAGCTGAGACCCAAAACGCCTTTGGCCAACACCAGGCAAATGAGGAGCCTCCAAGAAGGAAAGGTGAGAATGGAAGCTTGCACTCCAGCAAGGGAAGGGGACAATTAAAGAAGAAGGAAGCCTCTCTGGAAGCGCTCAGCCTTGTTTTTGAGGAACTTCTCCCGCTGGGCAGGGAGATGCCCCAGGATGACCTGCAGGCACGTGGCCCGTGCTGAACAGGGGAAGCTTCAGCCACAGAGAGGGAACAAACTGCCAACAGCTCCTCTGCCTTGGCAGGAGGGAGCAGGATTTTTCTTCTAATTAATAAAGCACTGCTTCCACCTATCTAATCTGGAGAGGAAGCAACAATGTGAACAGATTGAAGTGTCTTGAGAAGGGTGGATCTCACTCATGGAAATTAACAGTTAAGCACCTTAGCAAGATGCTGAGTTTGGATTTTGGTTTTCTGCCCCTCGCAGCTGCAATAATTACCAGGTTTCAACAGATGCCGTTTAGCTGCTCCCAAAATACTGCTTCCAAAATAAAACCAGATTTGATGTCTCCTCTCCCAAGCCACTCACACCAGCTTACCCTGATCGTGATGCAGAGCCTTCCTCAAATTCCCCACCAGCACCGTGAGCAGCAGACACATACAGCAAGTTCAGGACAGCAAAGCTTTCCCATGGAGGTTCTTCCTGCTGCTGGGACAGCAGAGCAGTCACCTGGATGCTTCCAGATAACCCTATTCCTCCACAGCAGTGAGCAGTGCTGACCCTTCGGGCCCCAGCTCTCCTGTCACAGTGGAACAGGCAGGAAGGGTGGAGATCTGGGTCTGCCCAACCCCCTTTCCTTCCCTCCAGCTTCAAAGTAGGCTTTGGCTCTGAAGAGAGCAAAAGAGGAAGCAAAGGGAACTGGCCAATGTGTTTCAATGCATCTAGGAAGCTGCAGGATCAACTTTTCCTAGGATCAACCCCGAGCTCTTCCCTTTGGCACACAGCAGGAAGGAGACAGAGGTCCCTGGAGCTGCTGCAGCCACTGAGGAAAGCGGTGAGGAAGACTCACCCCAGCTGGTCCCACGTGCAGAAACTCCTCCTGGTGATGGGATACCCCAGACACCTTTTCCCAGTAATTTATGAACCACGTGGCACGTGGCAGCTCAAGTGCTAACTGAGTTTTCCAGCCTCACTTGGTTCTCAATCTCCCAGACTCAGGGACAAGAACTTTGTCACTTCATTAATATTTCCACTCCCTCAGCCTATAAATGAAGTTAACTCTGAGCTACTCCCTTGCTCCAGGGAAGGTCCAGGAATGAAAGCACAGCCATCCTCAACTCCAGACAGCTCTGAGGTGGTGGGCGAGCAGCTGGCCCAGGAGAAGGCACAACATGTACCTGGGGGAAAGACGTCCCTCAAAGCTGTGCCAAGAGGAAGGACACTTCCTTCTAGAACTGAAGCTGCAAGAACCAGCCCTTCTCCTCCCTCTGCTGTGTAAGCTCCCCTGCCTGGGGGCTGGCTAAGATCATAGATCCATAGAATGTCCTGAGCCAGAAGGGACCCACAGAGCCCAACTCCTGGCCCTGCACAGGACACCCCAACAATCCCACCCTGTGTCTCAGAGCTTTGTCCAAAAGCTCCTTGAGGTCTGCCAGGCGTGGGGCCATGACCACTGCCCTGGGGAGCCAGATGTGCTGGGACCCAGTACCACCCTCAGCAGCAAAGCAGGAGCTCTGTGCCCTCACTCACATGCAATCTGCTGCTGGCAGGGAGAAATCAGGGCTCCTGGAGAGCTCTGAATGTCCAGTGCCCACACACAGCCCTGGCAGGAGCAGCCTCCTCTGCAGGGACTGCGGGATGCAACTCACACCCTGAAACCCAAATCAGCTCAGGGGCCAGCGGGTGCAGCTGGAGGAGCTGGGGCTGACTGGGGCCTGGAGCTGGAGGAGACCATTCAGCCACCATGAAGGCATGGCCAGCCCCTGGCCAGTCCTGCCTCCATGCACAGCAGATGAGGCTCACGCTCACAGGGCCCAGGGGAAGCAGGGAACGGTGTGCAGGACGAGACAGGGCAGTGTCAGGAGGGAATAAAGTCACAGAGCACGGCAGGCATGGGATAACTAAGGATGTAGAGTGCAGTGTCTGATGGTGTGTCATGCCAGCCAAGCAAAGGAAAGAAGTTCAAGCATCTGTGTGACAGATCCAGCTCCCAGCCCCAGGCAGGGGGGCAGAATGTGCAAAACCAGGTCCCAGAGCAGAGCGTGGCTGGCACTCACCAGGCTGAGATGACCCTGTTAAAAGAAGTAACCCCAAGAGAGGAAGGGTAAACAACCCCTCTCCTTCCACAGGGCAGTGGGGGAAGAGCAGACAAGCAACAAGACACCCACCTCAGACAGACGCAGTACAGGCTGAAATCCAAGATGCCAACACCGACCCCACGAGAGCTCTAGGGCTCAAGTGCAGCAAGAGCAAGTGAACCGAACACTCTGTGCTGAGCAGATGTTGTGCACACAGCTGGGGACAAGAAATAAAGTTGTGCTGCTCTTTCTCCCTGCCCTCACCTGCCAAGGCAGCCAAGTGCTGCAGTCCTGGCAGGAAATGAAGGTGTCAGCAAGTTCCAATTCCTCGCAAAGGTTCTGGCAGGGAGGGGCAGGAAGGCACCTCCAGGGACAGACTGAGGCATAGGTACAACGGGAAGGATGGGCCAGTGGTTGGCACACTCAGTGGGATGTGGAAGGCTCTTGCAGCCCTCGAGCTTTAACCACAGAGCTCCCCGTGTGACCTGGGCCATGGTCCTGTGACTCAGGAAGCTCTGTCAGACCCCCCAGGGCCAAGAGGTCTTCAGGTGCACAAGGCACAAGGATGTCAGGCAGTGTATAAGCAGCACAACTGGGAGGATGTGGAAAAGGGAGAGAAGGGCGAAACTTATGTTTGCTATGGGGCAGAGGGCTGGAAGAAGAGAGGAGACCAGGGATTCTGGCCTTTGAGGAAACGGAGGGGACTGGAAGCTGCAAGTGAGCTGTTTTCCAGATCCCTGTGAGAAAAAGGACTGGTACACTGCTTGCAGAGGTATCATCAGCTGAAGTGAGCTGTCTGGAAGCACATTTCCAGATGGGCTATTAATGAGGTAACAGGATAATTTAACCTGGAGCCCCAGACCAGCACAGAACAGGACCTCACGTTTCATGCGACGCTTTAGCAAAGGCCAGAACAGCAGCATGTGTCTCTGGCCGTGGAATTAACATGCAAGGGCAAGCTCCAGGGTCTTTACCTTCTTTCAGCTGCCTTGAAACTGGTTCTGGCCCAACTTTAACACAGAAGAAACTCATATACAGCAGCTGAGTTGGGCTGAGCTGCATTTAAAGCCCAGCACTGACTCTTCGTAAGCATGCAGGCAGAGGAAGAGGTGTCCAAAGCCTGAAGTGAAAGATTAATAGGAAAAGTACATTTATAGCCACAGAGCAACGAGCAGCAAAGTCTGAGTGAAGTTTCCTCTTCTCCCTTGCACTGGACAACTGTAAACTAGTGACAGATAATCCGGGGAGCTATTGGAAATCTACCACGGTCACTTTGAGAGAGGGGATTATACAGATTTGAAAGGGCAATCAACATCTTAATCACAAGATGGAGGGAGAAAAAGAGGGAGAAGCAGGAAGGTTTTTTTTCAAAATAAGGGTTAACTTCAAACCTCATCTCCGTTGACAACTGAAGAGCAGTTTCTGAACGAGCATGAAAATGGCAACACTGGCACTGCTGAGGAAGTGTCTGAATGTTTAAAAAAAGCCCACACAAGCCAATCCCTACAACCCCAGTGCTCCATTAAGTCAATTAACATTGCTCCAGTGAAGTGCAGCGAGCCACGTGTATCCTGCAGTTTCCCAGCCAATTGTGGGTGCCTTTGGAGCTCAGTGTTAACTCAGCCTGTGTGGGCTGGCACGGGCCCTCCCTCTCATTAGCAGCAGAGAGGTGATGCCACAGAGAGACATACACAGGGGCAAGGAACAAAACAACACAAACCCCAGCATGCAATCTTGGGAAGCTTTAAGCAGCAGATCTCATTTCCAGATCTCTTCCTCCCTGTATTTATAATCCTTGCAGCAGAGTTCTGTCATCCTCCTCAGCTCACAGGCTGCCCCAGCTCCAAGAGATGTCAGGCTGAAAAATCACCCTGACAGATTGCCTGCTGAGACCAGTTGCATTATAAAAACAGGAAGCTCTTACTCTCCTGCTCCCAATATGCTACAGATTGAATGGGAAGGAGCAGACACAGGGATGCTTTACAGGAAGCACACACACACGGGACTCTTGCCAGGAAAAATGCGTCTTGAGTAACACATGTGCTCTTAGTTTCCTCCCTTCTCAGAAAGGTTTAACTACACTCTGAGTTACCCAGCAGCAATAAACCACTTTTTCCCCCCCCTTTCTCACTTACAGCAGAGTGTTGCTTGGTAAACAGCAGATCGTCCTGTCTGAGGCTGTGCCAGCCTGTGCAGAACAGAACTGTTGTTATTGCACATTCATAGCTAGAGATAAACATGAATAAGAGCCACGAGCAAGAGCCAGGCACTGGTTCTTCGATACACCGCTTTATCAGGTTCACCTTGATTCAACTGTTTCTGACAACATCCCTCCCTCCTGAAGGGGCAAGATGGCACAAGCAGCAAGGACAAACACTAAAAAAGAAGACAGAAGTGACAGCAGCACAAAAAGTGCTCTTCTGTACTTGCTAACACTCACAAACTGTGCAGCTCACAGCTCCACCTGCACTCGAAACACTCAAAAGCACAACATGGAAACAAACGAGCCCAGCCAGCCCAACCTTCCCAGATGGAGAAACAAAGCAGCCTTCAACACATTTCTCAGGACAAACCTCCACCGAGAGCCACGACTGCTGCAGGACAGAAAGGTTATAGAGAGCCAGGGAAGGAACAAAAAGTGCAAGTCATCTCTCATCTGCAAGCTGACACTCTGCAATGGCACAGGTACAACCAACCAGCCCGGGAAAGCTGGACACTGGGAGGCAGAGGAGGGGTTCTGACCTTTCCAAGAGCAGATCTATCGACCAGCTGCTCCAGAAGCACTGGGGAAAGAAGCACAGAGTTAGTTCCAATGATTGTTCCTGGATGAGTTCATGACCTGCACAAGAAGACTGGTCTTCAGCAGCAGGGAACTGGGCTTGAGGACCCAAGGAGTTCCTTCCTCCCAGTCACTCAGCAACCCGCATTCACAGTGGGCCATAGGTGCCCAAACACAGCACAAACACGAGGTCATTCCCAAAAGGACAGCAGGGATTGTATCTCCAGATCACGCTAAGCTGACAGATAAGCAGATGAAGAGCTGGCCACCGCAGAAGGGAGGGGAAGAGAGTTGCAGCAAAAAAACAAAGTCTCACATCCAGTGAAAATCCAGGACACGGACTTGGAAAACAAAGTCTCAGAGACAGGAGGTGGAGGAGATGTCCCCTGAGCACACTGTCCCCAGACACCCCAACCACAGCTTTAATTCCAACACAGATTAGACAGACAGGAAATATGTAATTTGCCCAAGCCTCATCCAGCTGCATCCCTTCCTAGAGACAGCTCCCAGCCCTCACTGCACTGCCCTGCCCAGAGCCAACAGGCAGCATCACCCGGGTGTCTCCTTCTGCCATTTTTATCCAATTTGGCCTTCCCTGGCTTTAATCTGGCACCACGTTCCAGTTTCCAGCCAAATGGCCTAGATTTAAACCACTGCATCTCTGGCTGTGCCTCAGGCAAGTGCAGAGGTAGGATGAGCCTGAGAGACAACGGTGGCATTTGGCATTTCCATCACAAAAAATAGGCAGAGAAAAGCATAAGAATCACCAAGAAATGCACAAGAGGCTCCTGCCTTCCCCAAGAGCACAGGGAACCAGGAGAAACCAGGGAGATGGGACAGACTTGGGGCCTGGAGAGGAAAATAGTTCCTCTTCTGGAATCACAGCATCACACAATGGTTTGGGTGGGAAGGGACCTTAAAGTCCATCCTGTTCCACCCCCCTGCCATGGGCAGGGACACCTTCCACTGTCCCAGGTTGCTCCAAGCCCTGTTCAACCTGGCCTTGGACACTTCCAGGGACCCAGGGCAGCCCCAGCTTCTCTGGGCAGCAGGAAAGCACAGATAATGAGAATGGCATTTAATGGCATTAAATTTAATTCTTCTTTAATGGAGAAGCACCACATTACTGCTTTCCCCCCTTTCAGCTCCACATGGCACCTGTACTCTGTGCTGGGCCATCCCAAAAACCACGTGAATCCTTCTGCACACCGATGTGGCAGCCACGCCATTGCTTCTGTGAGATTATACTGTAACTGAAATTACAGGTGTGGAATAACACCTGGGACAATGAAGTGCTACAGACAAAGCAGAGCCTGACACCACCACAATCCTCCCCTCTCCTCACCAGAGGGGCTTTACTGGCTCACTGTCTCCATCACAAGTGGCTCCTCTTCAGCCACACCAGTAGAGCTGGAAGTGTAGGATGTGTTCAATTGCACAACACCTTAAACCGTATTTTCCCAGGAGAACACTCATTAGAACAAACACAATGGTCACACTGAGGAATGAGGACACTGAGGAAAAGGCTGAGAGGGCTGAGACATAATGCAAACAGTTTGAGAAAAAGCTGCCTTTGTTAGAGCAAAGCCAGCCCTACCAGGCCATCGGAGGTACCTCCAGCACAGGGAGGGAACTGTGCTCTCCACCAAGGGCAGTGGCTGCATCCTGAGCTCACAGTGCCCAAACAGGCAGATGGAGAGGAGGTCACACTACTGGAGTCACTCTCAGAGGAGGTCACACTACTGGAGTCACTCTCAGAGGAGGTCACACTACTGGAGTCACTCTCAAATGCCTTGCAAGACAAATCCAGGTGCCTGAGCCTGTGGTGCTACAGACCCCCAACCTTCCCTCCACCAGCCTCTGCTTCCTAAAACATGCAAGGTCAGGCAACAGGAACAATGGCAGTGGCATTTATTTGTAAGACATTTCAAGGCTGAATCAAAACTGACCCAAAAGCAGGAATGTCACTTCATCCCTCTCACCAGTGAGAACTAGCCATGGTACAGACCTGACCAACACCTCCCTGGAGACAGTCAGTGCTCAAAGACCAGAGTGTTCACAGTCTGGCTTCCCTGACCATCAACTGTAAGAGATTCCTACAGACCTTCTGCTGTGGCTGGACACCAAAGTCACAGGGAAACTCCAGCTAATCCATAGGCACCCAGGCAGACCAGATGGGCCAACACACAGCATGCTGGAATCCATTTGATCAATCCAAAACTCCAAACTGGATGAGGCCACATCAACCTGGATCATTAGAACTCAAGGACAACACCGTCACACACCACAAGAGTACCCTGAAGGTCCAAGCTCAGACTGGCTTCCCACCAGCTCGTCCTGTCTCCACAGCCCAGGCTCTCAATCTCCATTCTGAAAGCAGCCCAGCCATGTAAGGCACAACACAGCCACCTCTCTGTCCCAGTCCTGGCCTGGGAACTGCCACAGTGGTTACTGCAGGCAAAGCAACGCAGAGTTTCTGAGACCAACTTATTCCCCTGCCCTTGCACTACTTCAAACACGCCCTGGGACAGTCCACTGCTTAAGACTGCGAGATCCTGGCAGACCCCACAACTTCTCTTCCACTATTACAGTTTCCTCTTCACCAGAAGCAAGCCAGGGGACACCAGTCTCCCTACCCACACGAGCATGTGGCCTTCACGCAGACAGCACGGAGAGGGAAACGCTCGAAGGAGGAATCAAAACAAGGAAGAACAACAAGACCGAGACACAAAGCAGGGTAACTGTGCTTACAAACCAGAGCAGAGAAGGTCTTCCTTTCAGCCCCTCCCGGCCCAGCCCAGAGCTGAGTCAGAAAAGCCTCTCACCCCAGACGGTTCCTGCTCGGCGGGTGCGGTGCCAGGGGTGTGGGGTCAGCCTGGTGTCCCTGGAGCCGGGCGGGCACTGCTGGCACCCGCGGAGCAGCCTGGCACGGGGACCATGCTAGGAGGTGTCTGCAGGAGCACTGGGAGCACACCAAGCCTGGCAGGAGCAGCTGCTGAGCTGGAGGACAGAGAGGGGAGAAAGGCACGTAAGAACAAATGGCTGCTGAGACTCCGGGTTTATCAGCATCACCCCAGCAAACACAACCAACCTCACGTCACTCCATCAGCATCCACTCGAACTCCAGCTGGCAGAAGGCTCTGTGCTTCCCAGGCATCCAGCTGGAGCTTGGTCCTGTCTGGAGACACGACGAGTCTGCTTTTGGGTTAGCTCAGATTCCTCACTCGTGGTTTCAGAGCCTTTGGCTGTGACTTTATAATTCTGTGCCCAGCATTGGCCTCACTCTCTCTGCCGGTGGCTGCTGCTCAGCGCTGTGCTGTGAGCTGGCATCAGAGCAGGAACAGCACCCTGGGAGCAGGGCAGGAGGGAGCAGGGCAGGAGAGAGCACGGCAGGATCGCGTGGACAAGGACTCTGGACAGCTCTCCACAATTAGCAACAGGGCAGGAGCTCCCGAGGGGCCGGATGTGAGCACAGCGGTGTCTGGCGGGGCACGCTGCCTGAATGTTCAAATACAGAAAGAGATGTTAATTACTCTGCATAGCCAGGACATCATTAGCAGTTACATCTACTGGAAATTCTACAGTACAAATTCCTCTGATTATGCCAAACGTGCCCATCCCACCCCCAGAAGCCATGACGTTCAAGTAGTTGCCTCGGCAAACCTCCCTCCTCCGAGATATTTCCCCTTCCTCCTTCGCATTCTCTGCTCTCAAAACAACCTGTTCTAGTGAAATCCATGCTTTAGGAAAGAGCTGTCTCCTTTCGGATGGCCTTTTAGCAGATGGAGGCAACAAGAACCCTTGTCCATAAGTGTCTGGCTCACCAGCACACTCTCACTTCCTCTGTTTGAGGTTGGGGAGGGAGCACAAAAATAAGGATTCAGTCAGAACAATGCAATCCCTGAGTCTCTTTGGGAGCACAGCGGAAGCACCAAGAGCAACAGACCCTGTTCTGCTCCCTCACCTTGCCCAGCATCCCCACAGCCACAACATCAGGTGCAGCACAATGTCCCTGGGGGAGGTCACAGTGAACTCACAAAGAGCTTTTCTCTTCCAGCACTCCCCACCACTGAGAATTCCAGGCAGTGGGGAGATGTCCTGTGGTGAACACCTGGATATGGGCTGCTAATGGAACCAGTGTAGGACAGAGAGGTGGATACAGAGTGGGCAAGAGATGCCACTCAGGGACCAGTAAAAAGTAAATAAGGGACTGATTCAGGTTCAAAAGGACCTTTTAACCCAAGGGTCTGTGCAGCAAACTGGCTACAAAGAGAATTCCAGCCCACAGCATCTCCAAGTGGAAAGGCTGGAGGCTTAGAGCTAATGAGGGAGTGAGACCAACACCAGAGGACAGAGCACCCCACAAGTGCCACATCAGTGTGTGTGGCACCACATCATTTTCCTTGTAGGGCACCTGTTCACATAGGGATGGAGTAGGAAGGGAAAGCTCTGAGCACCCAGCAGCTCAACACAAACCCTCTGGGCTGTGCTGGAATTCCAAGGACTGCCCCAGCTCTGCCTGCTGCCTTAGTCTGCAGGCAGGAGAACTGAGAGGCAAGCTGGAGAGCAAGCCTGTGACCACACCAGTGCTGCAGGCTCTGTGGAGAGCAGGGCTGCCACAGGGGAACACACAGCCCTGCACACGAGGACCCTCATGCCATGCTCCCACTTCCAAGGACCGGCACAAACACAGGGGAGTTCACTTGCTACCCCAACAAAGCTGTCCAGAGTTACCATCTCTGCAAACCTTTTTGTTGCAGGAGCAGGAGGACACAACCCAAGCTGGGAAGCTGTCCATGACATCTTTAGTAAACCAAAATCATCTGGGCTGGGACTGGGAACAAGGTGCTGAACAGGAAACTCTGGTGTTGTAGGAAACACCTTGCTAGAAATGCAGCTGGGTGGCATCACAGAGGGGACAACAGCTTTTGTAAGGTCTCAGTCTCTATTTTACCAGAGTGGGTGTGCACTGATAACCCCGCAGCTTTGGCAAGGGCTGTCAACGCCAGGGCTGGGGCAGGGCACCACCCTGGTACCCTGACGTGGTGCCACTGTCACCCTCCCCTGGTGCTGAGGCTGCTTAGCCCCCACAGCGTTTCCCCAGCACCCTCCTTGCTACAAAAGTGGCTGCACTGCAGGAACAGAGAGGCTCTTTTTTTTTTTATGAGCACGCATTAGAGTTGCCACCGTTGGCAGAGCACGGAGGCACGACTTTGTGGGGGAACAGAGATATGGTTCCAACACTAGTTTTAATGTGCAAGCCTAAAGACTCGGCTTCAGTTTTTAGAAATCAAACTTGATCATCTCAAGCTGGCAAAAATAGCCCCATGTTCCCTCGAGTTATTTTCTTTTCAAATAGGCAGGGTACAGCACAATAGGAAATATCAGCAGTTATGTATTCAACCTCCAGAAACCCAACGGGCCAATTCCAGCAACCCACGGCAGCTTTCCAGCCCTCCCTGATCTATTTGCTGGAGTTAGAGTGAAAAGCAGGCTGCCCCGGAGCCATTCAGCAAACTCCACGTCCCGCTAATTACATCAATATAAATGTATTATCTTGGCTGTCAAACACGGGCTGCCTGAACAGGACAACGCTCTGCCATGGAAATGCAGGAAAACAATTGCTCTTTCTGCTGGTGACACGTTTCTCTGGATCTTATTTCCTTGCCAGGGCTCCCCCTTCCCCCTCCTGCCCAGGCACCAGGGCAGCAGTATTTTTTTTTTTTTCCAGAGCAAGAGGAAACGGCACACACAAAAAATCCTCCTCATCTTTTTAAGTGACTGAGGACGAGCAGATTTTGGGAACACCACGGGCACTTCCTATCGGCCATCCTGACACAGGGAAGCGAGCTGTGAGGGCAAGGGTTAAAAGTTTCTCCTGAGCAGGCAGCAAGCAGCCCCTCTGCCTCTCTTGGCTTCCTCAGCTGCCATGGCTAAATGTGTCAGCACTCCAAACAGCACGTGTGACAGAAATTCGGAGTAGCCTGTTCCTCCCTGCCCAGCTCGAGGACTGTGCACTCAGGAAGGGTCCAACAGCAACCCCCAAGGTTGAGGCAAACGCAGGCAGATCCAGCAGGCTCCCAGGGAGCAGGCAGGCAGCCCACCTCGCTCCCAGGAGTGGGATTATGACGGAAAATGAGGAGGAAGCCACTGACTCACCTGTCCCACCCTCGTAAGCAGCTTTCCCAAGGAGGGCTGCGCTGTGCCTGACCTTGCTCAGAGCCCCCACGTTCCAAATGGGCTGCTCACAAGGTTCCTCCCAATTCTGGGCACTTGGAGAGAGCCACTGCAGCAGGACACTGGGCTGGCACACACTTTACAAATCCATCTCCTCTCCCCCTGCCCACGGCTCTGACCACAGGCAGTCACTGCCCCTTGCTCCAGCCTCCCCCTGCTTCATAAAGACCCTCACTCAGAGAAATGCCACCGGGTCTGGTCCTTCCCAGACCCCTCTGCTCACAGCAAGGGTCAGAACGAAGCCAGAAACAAACAAGCCTGGATTCAGGTGAGGTGGGAAGAGGAAAAAAGCATTTCTCCCACTTGCATCTCACCTGGGAGCAGATGATGTTCCCACCTGAGGAGATCAGCACAACCATGGCTGCACGCGGGGAGGGCAGAGGTTGGGTCTCTCTCTACATCTCACATGCAACCACTGCAAATTTGGAAAGCTCCCACAAAAGCTCTGGGACAGAGGAGAGCATGTTTTCCATGAGATAAAGCCAACAGCACTCAGCTGGCTGAGGGAGCACCAACAGCACTCAGCTTTGGCCACTTCCCTCTGCAAAGCCAGCGGTATTCCGAGCAGAGATAAGGGAGACAGCCCAGGGGAGCAGAGGTCACTCAGCCTCCTGAGGGCATCCAGGCTCCTCCACGGGGTCACCCAGCCCTTCCGCTCCTCTGAGGCAGCTCCGAGCCTGGGCGTAACGCCCGACCTTTTTTATGCACAACTTTAGCAGTTTTGGTTTTTCGGGATTTGTTCCAATTCAGGAGACACCGTGGCTGGCCCACGCCTTGGGCTCCCTCACACACCAAGTCTCCAGGCTGCAGGAGGCTGCTCTCCCTCCTGCCAAAGCAACGGGGCTTAGCAAAGCCACATCCAACCTTCAAAGGCCTCTGCAGCCCTCCAGCCCCTCTCGAGGAAGGAGCACTGCTGGGTCTTACCTTCTGCCTTGAATTGTTAAAGCCCTGGACACAAACAGAAGCTGATGCAACTTTAACCAAGTTAATATCCCCGTGTACATCAAATCGGGGTAATTTGAATCCTGCCTCTGAAACATTCCTCAGGCAGAGCTCAGTCCTGCTCTGGCCCAGCCAGGGGGACAATCCAAGCTGTTCGGCAGTGGGTCTCAAAAAACAGCCACACAAAAGCCTCCCAGGAGGCTGAGATACCACCGTGGGTCTGCTCCAGTTCAGGGAGGAGCACAGCCCTGAAGCACAAGTCCCCCGGGTGACAACGTGCAAAGTGTGGTGAGATCTCTGCGTTCAGAGCCACGGGGGATTGTGCACCCCCTCCTCCGCACCTCAGCTCCTTCCAAACGCATTCCTGGTCTCCACCAGCTCCTGACCCACCCACAGCAGTGCAGTACATCCCATCCCAGTGCCCCAGGCCACGGGCACTGAGCACTTCCCAGATAACCTTCTATCCGACCGTGAGAACCCACCCAGCCGTATCCCGGGCCTGTGGAGCGGCGAGCACTGAGATTCCCATCTGAAGACAAGCTTGGAGGAAACAGGATGACATTTCAAACACAACACGCGCATTATTCTATCCCCCCTCACCAGATGACCACCTCAGCTGTTTCCTGGCGCCTGGGGGGGGATGCACCCCAGATGCAGGAGCAAGCAGGGCAGAGAGAAGCTTGGCAAATGGGGAGGTGGGTCAGCACAGAGCCTTTTACAGAGCCTCGTCCTCTGTAAGACTTCTACACCCAGGACCTGGAGGCTGACATGCTTCACCTGCAGCTGAGCTGATGTGCACCAAAATCCAGGGGTCTGGATGAGGCACCAGGACCCCAACAGCCTCAGGATATTCAAGACCCAAGTATAAGAGCAGCCACCTGATTCTAAAGGGCAAACTCGCAAAAGAAACTGCACAAAACCCTGGTCAGCCCCCAGTGGGGGGCTCTAACCGGGAGGTGAGAGTGCAGACCAGAAGGACAGGCAGCCCTGGGTACCGGGGGCTCTGCTGTGGTCCTGCCCGGAGCAGGCATCCAACAGTGCCCTAAGCCAGCTCCCCTGCCCAGCAGAGCCCCAAGCCGGGCTCCCCTGCCCGAGGGTAGAACCAGGAGCTCAGCTCTCCCTGCCCCGAGCGCAGGGCGAGGGCAAGTCGGGCATCGCAGCCTAACGCGGGGAATCACGAAGCCTCCCCCGTCCCCCCGCGGCCGCTGCGGGACCCTCAAGCCCTGTAATGCCGCTCCGGGCGTGCGGCCGCGCTGGGGCGCGAGGGGGGCCCCGCAGCCCCCAGGTCACCCCAAACCCCCGCCGAAGGGACCCCGACCCCACCCTCCCTCCCCCCGGGCCGCCCCGGCCTCCAGCCCCGGCTCGGGCCCACCGGCAACAGG